CAACATCGTCGCCAACCTCATCGACGACAACATCGCCGACCCTCCTCCTTCTCAGGTGCGCCCCCTTCTCTCTGTCATTGTCGTCATCGTCATCGTTGCTGACCACCCTCCTTGTCCCCATCTTCAGCATCATCGCCGTCGTCGCCGTCGTCGACGACCCTCCCACTTGCAGGTGCGCACCCATCCTCTCTATCATCGCCATCATCATCGCTGACTCGCCTATCTTTTTTCGACGATCAGGTACATGCATCTATCGAGCGATCAGGTGCGTTTCCTTTTTGGGATGGTCGTCCGCGTGCTAGTATATATTGGCTTGGTCGCTTTATCGTTCCATCTTTTCTTCGTCCCCCACCTCGCTTATCTTCCATCCCCGTCGTTTATCGTCCCATCGCTCTCCACCCTCTTCCACCATCGACCTTATCTACCTTCATCTACCTTCGTCTACCTTCACCCACCTTCGTCTACCTTCACCCACCTTCGTCTACCTTCACCCACCTTCGTCTACCTTCACCCACCTTCGTCTACCTTCACCCACCTTCGTCTACCTTCACCCATCCTCACTGACCTTCGCCTATCCTCATCGACCCTGACCTACACTCACCAACCCTCACCTATCCTCGTCCACACTCACCCTACACTAGCCCTCACCCATCCCTACCCACACCTACCCTCGCCCTCTTACTCAGTATGTACGTCACTAACCTGTGTGATCTCTGGCGACACTCTTGGACTTGGGCGACACTCTACTAGAGCTTAGGCGACCCTCCTTCTTTTCGTTATTTATTTTACTCCTTTCTTTTGTCGTTACTCTCTCCATCCACCTACCTCCCTTCGACATCGCCCTTCACCATCGACTCTTCCGTACTATACCCTTCCTTCCTTCTCTTTCACCTTCCACCTCGTCTCACTCTGTCTCTTGGTTCGTAAGTAGTCTCTCATCTATGGCGACACTCCTCTGCTCTGGCGACACCCTCAGCTTAGGCGTCTCCTACCTTCCCTCGTCCTTCCTTCCGTCTGACCAACTCATCGCTACTTATACTCCCTTCCTCCCTCATATTATATAGGTACGTTGTCTCTACACTTGGGCTACACTCGTCTGGGATACACTCGGGCTTAGGCGACTTCGCTTTCTTCTTTCTCACCCTTCTACTCACCCTTTCTTCATCCTTCATCATCGACTCGTACATAAGTTAAGGTCTCACTTGGTCTAAGGTCTAGGTCTAGATATATCGCGTGAAAGGTAAGTATAGTAGTAGATAATATATTGTGTGATCTTGATGTTCTCCAAGGTGCGTTATATGTAAGAGCTTGGTCCTAGTCTTGGTCTCGGTCTCATCTTAGGCAACATCCACCGCCCACTCATTCCTCCCTTGTCTTGCGTGTCTGTCTGAATTCAAGGTAAGTCCCCCTGGGTAGAGCGTCGACCTTGTCGTGGTCCAGGGGCTCAGTACCTCTTCGGAGGGAAGCCAACAGACGCTCGCAAGGTGCGTTTCTTTTCTATCTCGTGTCGCTGATTTTCTCTAGATTCTCTCACAGGAGTTCTGTTCGACACGAAACGCATGTATGTCCGCGGGGAACATGTATTGATCTGTGAGTTTTCCCTTTCGATACACTAATCCTAGTCATCACGCTGACTTCCTCCTCAGTTGCCCTACAGGTGTGTGATTGTGTGAATGTAAGAGATTGGCGTCGACCTGCCTTCAACAGCAGCGCCTCACCACAACCTCGACACCGAGCTCCAACGAGCTTCAAGACCGGTCCCCTTGGCAGAGCGTTGACCTTGTCGTGGTCAGGGGGCTTAGTACCTCTTCGGAGGGAAGCCAACAGACGCTCACAAGGTACGTCTCTTTCTTTATATCATTTCACTGATTTTTTTAGATTGTTTTATAGGCGTGTCAGGTTGTGGTGAGTCTCCATTACTTTGTCTCGTTCGCGTAGATTTGGTTTACTGATGTATTGTGTTTAGTTTTCGTTAAAGGTGCGTGAGTGTGAGTGTGACTAAAGGTACGTGCGGCGCTCTGCTTGCGAAAGCAGCATCGTCCTTCCCCTTGGTAGAGCGTCGACCTTGTCGTGGTCAGGGGGCTCAGTACCTCCTCGGAGGGAAGCTAACAGACGCTCGGAAGGTAGGTCTCTCCTCGTTCTACTATCTCGCTGATTTTTTTAGATTCTCTTAGAGCAGTGGCGTTCGACACGAAACTCAAGATTTCCACGAGGAATATATATTGATCGGTGAGTCTTCCATTTCAATGCGCGCATACTCATGACCACGCTGACTTCCTCCTCAGTTTTTCTGCAGCTGTGTGACTGTGTGAATGTGAAAGAACGGCGTCGACCTGCCTTCAACAGCAGCGCCCTCTACACAACCTCGACACCGCGCTCCAACGAGCTTGAAGACCGGTCCCCTGGGATAGCGTCGACCTTGTCGTGGTCCAGGGGCTCAGTACCTCGGAGTCCGATCCTCCGAGGGAAGCCAACAGACGCTACTAACAGGTGAGTGCGCTCGCGCTTCAATAATCATCTATTTTCTGACGCATCTCGTGCAGTTTTATTTTTCTACAGGTCCGTGAGTGGGGTTGTTGTTTTCTCTCTCGCTTTCCTCTGTTCGTCTTCGCCCTCGCCCTCGCCCTCGCCCTCGCCCTCCTCTCTTCGCTCTTGCCTTCTTCTTTTCACTCTTGCTTTCTTCTTTTCACTTTCGCTTTCATCATTACTATCACTACGGCGACACTTCTGGGCCGTCTCCATCTTCGTCTCTGTATGCTTGTCTCAAGTCTTCAGCTTGAGTCCCTCCCCTGGTAGGGCGTCGACCTTGCCGTGGTCCAGGGGCTCAGTACCTCCTCG